GGTAAAGAAAAATGCATGATTACTAGTTGCACAATTGTTGAAATGTATGGTAACTTTTGTTCCTTGTCCGTCTTTATAATGGTCACCTTGGTTAAGCTCATTCTCAAACCCTCTAGTGGGAGCCAATTGGTGAAGAAGAATCAACTCTCATGTTGGGATGCAAACTGTAAGCATACATCATCTGCTTTTCAGGATCTGTGGTAGACTGCACATCCAGCCCAGCCGAACTGGCTTTCCTTGCACTGTGAATTGACACACCTCCATGAGAGGCAGGAACTGTTTTTTTCCTCCAGATCCTGGCAGAACTTTGTAGCTGCCTTGACCAACAGGATGAGGTAGAAAGGATGCTACAAGACTCTGGAGGTCATAGAAGGTAGTAGGGCTTGTGCTTGATTCTCTTATCTCTCTGGGTCACCTGTGCTTGGACCAGCCACTGTCCTTCCTGTCATTAGGAATCTTGTGCTGATAGCCAGGTCACAGCCCACACCAACTGCCAGATGTGGAAGTGCATGAACCTTCCAGGGACTCCCGCCCACTCCTGGTGTTGGGGATCAGGAGCAGGCCATGCTTGCTGACCACGAGAACCATAAGAGATTGTGATGGGCTGTCACTGTAGCTGTTCTTTGCTGGGATCAGTTGTCAGGAAGCAATGGACAACTGAACCAAGGATGATCTATGCGTCTTCCTGGTAGAAAGCCACAAAAGAGTTAGAAATCTTTTAGGAAGGCTGGGTATGGTGGTGACCAGCTGTTATCCCAGCTATTCAGGAGGTGGAGGCTGGAGGATTGCAAGTTCAAGGCCAGCCTCAACAACTTAGCAAGGCCCTCGGCAACTTAGTGAGACCTCCTTTCAAAATAAAACATAAAAAGGGTCGGGGATATGGCTCAGTGGTTAAGTGCTTCTGGGTTCAATCTCTGGTACTAAAAACAAAAGCAAAAAAATAAAAAATAAAAATATTTTAGGATGGCAGGGCATAGTGGGGAATGCTTGTAATCCCAGCTATTCAGGAGCCTGAGGCAGGAGGATTGCAAGTCTGAGGCCAGTTTGGGAAGCTTAGTGAGACCCTGTCTCCAAATAAAAAGAACTGGGGATGTAGCTCAGTGGTAGAGCACTTGCCTAGCATGCAAGAGGCCCTGCGTTCAATCCCTAGTATTAAAATAATTTTTGTTTTTTTAGGACCCAAGATTACAGTCTCTCAATAGAAAATGTATGGTATTTATGGCTTGAGTTATTTCACAAAAATGACTTGGTTTCATTGAGCCTGATATTCCCAGTACCAAAGTCAGTCATGCATTTGTTTACACCCTAATTTATTCATTCTTTCAATGAATGTTTATTATTTTATTCTGAGCATAAGAATAAATAAAATATGATGCAAAAACTTCATGTAGTCTAATCTGCCTGGGTTCAAATTCTGCCTCTAACACTTATTAGCTGTGTGATTTGGGGCAAGTTACTTAACATTTCCATGGTCCAATTTTCTTGTCTGTAAATAGGGACAATACTAATATTGACTTCAATATGAAGTCAATATTAATATTGTGAAGTTTAAAGGGGTTAATAACCATTAATCAGATAAGGGCCTGGAACATATTGTTAACTTATGCAAGAATTTATTTCTTAAAGTGAGTCAAAGGAAATATGGTAAAGTGTTAACATTTGTTGAATCTAGGTGGTATGTTCGGGCTATCTGATTATTGATACTTTGCTGTATGGTGAATTAATAAACTTTTAAATCATACACAAAAAAAGATAAGGTCTCCATCTAGAGCAGTTCACGTGTTAGGAGGGTAAACAGTCATCTACCCTAGAGCATAACCAGAGTGTGCACATGGCTAAAATATTTATCTTATCACCTGGCACCAGGATCCTCCTAGGGAGAGAATATGATTTGTTTTGGGGAAAGGGTGTGAAAACCCACTTTGGAGTTGAAGGTGGGACCTTGAGGGCTGGGTGCTGGCAGGAGTGTCAAAGAGGCAGAATTAAACTGCTCTGCATGAGAAACTGGAGGAAGGAAATGGGAGGAGAGACAGGAGAGGGGCTCTGGAAAGAGGGGAGTTCTGTTAGGAACGCACCCAGCAGCAGGGTATAGAAAATGAGCTGAGGGCACAGGCATTGGGAGCTGATTTTTCTCTGAGAACAAGTATTCCAGGGGACATTCTTTTGAGGGCGGTGGTGTGGCCATGGACGTAGGCCTCACAGACTCCCAGCTACGGGGAGTGTAACTGACTGAGCCACCAGCTGTGGCTCTTGAACCTCTGTGGCAGTATTTGTGCTAAAGCCATGTTTCCCAGCAGCACCCAGCCAATGGCTCAGGGCAGCAGGGATACCCACACAGACCTGCTCCTGGGAGGCCTCCCCAAGACACAGATCAGCCTAAGATGTTTCTACTTAACCTTGTCTCTCTTCTCATCAGTTTCAGTGAGACTTGATCATAATCGGATAGCTCTCCCAGCCTTCTTCAGCTCATTCCCCCTTTTCCCTTAACACATTTAATCCCATTTGAGCATTTGCTTCTTGAAGGACTTTAACACAATTTTTTAACACTTTAACACAATTTTTAACTTTAACAACTGAGATTTCCTTGGACTTTCCCCCATGGTTGCAAAGAAGTGGCCAGAAGTCCCGCCATTCCATCCACATTCCAGGACAAAAAGAGTGAAGGAAAAAAGGGCTGTACTTAACCCTTTTATCAGGAAAGTAAGAGCTTTTCCCCTGTAGCCTCTGCATACTCATATCCAAACATCCAATGAAGTCAACTGAAATAGCCTTTCTTAGACATCTTAACTATAACATAAAGCATTGAAGAAACAGATCAGTACATATTCAGAGTTAACTTGGAGACATCTAAAAGAAACTGTCTGCAAAAGAGAATTGTTAGTCATAATTCAGCATCTCATGTATTCATTTATTCATTATCATCAGCAGTGTGCAAGCCCTCTGCCAGATTTTGTGTAATGTGGGGAATATTTGGTATTGTTTTAAAATGAGATGTTTTGAACAAACTCAAACTCCCAAAAATTTCCCTAACACTAATGACACTAATAAGGCATTTACCATAGAATTGTTAGCTCAGAGGGCCAAGGAAATGTCAAAGCAGTTATGTGGTTCAACAACTCCTGGGAAAAAATTTCTGCATTTCATTTTGTAACATTTAATTAGATCTTTCACCATTTAGCATAAAAGGTCCAGAAAAGCTATCAGAAAGCCATTTGACCTGTATATGATGCTTTTCAGAATGTCTGTAAAAACACTAAGACCGCAGATTATTAAAATGTATCCTTCTAATATACCAGCTAGTGTAGGCTTTATTTATTTATTTAGAGACAGGGTCTCACTGAATTGCTTAGCACCTCACTTTTGCTAAGTCTGGCTTTGAACTCATGATCTTCCTGCCTCAGCCTCCCAAGCCGCTGGAATTACAGCCATCATACCCCGCTTAGTGTGGGCTTTTAAAAGCTGTTATTTGGGAAATATAATTTTGGGCTCCACAAATATTTATTGAGAAATGTATTGGCAGTAAGATAATATAAACGAATGAGGTCATAACTAAAACAATCAGATTAAGTGGCAGATGCCATGGGGGAAAGAAGTTGGCACTGTAGGAGAGTGCTTAAGTAATTTGGTTGAGGATGGCATTTCTGCTGGGTGCGGTGGTGCACACCTGTAATCCCAGAGGCTCTGGCTGGGGCAGGAGGATCGCGAGTTCAAAGCCAGCTTCGGCAATGCTGAGGTGCTAAGCAACTCAGTGAGACTCTGTCTCTAAATGAAATACAAAATAGGACTGGGGATTTGGCTCAGAAGTCAAGTGCCCCTGAGTTCAATCCCTAGTACCACCTCCCACCAAAAACAACAACAACAACAACAACAACAACAACAATAATAATAATAATAATAATGGCATTTCCCAGGCAGGGAAAGAGCTCCTGGTGTATTTTAGAAGGAGAGAAAGCCAGGGGCTGGCTGGGAAAGGAAGAGCCCAATCCAGTGACACCATCTGATTTGCTGGGCTGAGGAAGTGAACTGTAGAGGACTCAGAGAAGAGAAGAAGCCATCCATGGGTAATGGCAGGAGACCTAGAGAGAGGTCACTGAACTTGCTCTTTCCAAGATGTAAAATGTTGCCAAGGACAAATGCTGATACTCCAGCTACTGCCTTTGCGATGAGTAATAAGCTGTTCTTTATCTCTGACCCAGGAGTCTTGTATCTTCTATGAGAATGAAAAATAAAAACAAAACCAAACAACGACAACAATGAAAATCTGGCAGGCTAACTTGCAAATAGGGTAAAAATCTCAGCCCCTCCACATTCTTGATGCTTAACCTATTCCAACTACAATCTGGACTGTCCCTTTAGCTCTCTCCAGTCCCCACACACGCTCTCATTCCCTCCAAGTCCTTCCCACCTAAGTGCCATCACTACCCATCTAGATGGTCAGTCCTGAATCCTGACTCCTTGTTAATCTCCACCCATGCCTACAATCCCTCAGCAAGTCTAACATGCATGACTGCACATAGGGTGAAACACTACATTGTGTGCCACCAGAGAAATGAAAAGTTTTGCTGCAATTGTGTATAATGAATCAAAATACATTTTGCTGCCATATAAACCTAATTAGAATAAATAAATATATATTTTTTAAAAAGTCGAATTGGCTCTTCCTCCTAGAACAAGAGGCAAACCCAGCCCCATGAGTGCTAGCTAAGCCTTTGCAGCTCAAGCTGACTTTCTATTGGCCAAGGCAAGTCACATGGCCCAGCCTAAGACTAAGATGCTGGTTCTTTAGTGAAGAAACAAAACAAAGCAAAATCCTCTGGCAAAAGGTATGGGTACAGGGAGACTGATTGATTTTGGCTATTAATAAAATCAACCACAAGCACCAAAGAGAATTTTTTTTTCCTAAGGAGAGATATATTATTCAAAATAGTCTTCAGACACTAACAGGCCATCTACTCTGACTTCAGAAGGGCTATTTGCCCACAGATCCTTACCAGAGCTGGAAATAGGGCGTTTTCTGGGGCCCCCGTGCAAGAAACACAATGGCAGTCAATGCCTGGCTCTGGAAGGTTATCATCACCATAATTGCCCTTGTGGTTTGTTCTTGGGGTCTGGTCCAGACACAGAGAAGACCAACAGGAGTGGATATTCTGAACAGGGTCTTCCAAAGCCTGGCGTCCACCACGGGTGGCATTTGAGATGTTGATCTTAGTTAGGGATGTGTTACTTAGGCTCTCACAGTGAAAATGTCATTTCTCTATCTTTTAATATCTTTATTGAGAATAATTTATATACTGTGATATTCACCCATTTTAAGGAAACAATTTGACGAGTCTTGGTCAATGTATACAATTGTGCAACCATCACCCCAATTCAGAATATGATCCTTCCAAGATATAAAAAACCCAAAAGTTCTCTCAGTGTCTTCTACACATATACGCAATTGATCAGCAACCCTTCTTTATTTTCAAGCAACCGTTGATTTTTCTGTCTCTTTGTGTTTGCTTCCTCTGAAAATTTCATTAAAATTGGATCACATATGTGGTTTGGGGGTTCTGGGGTTGTAGCTCAGTGGTGGCGCACTTATCCAGCATGTATGAGGTCTTGGGTGCTTATCTGCAGCACAGAAAGAAAGAAAGAAGGAAAGGAAAAAGTGGTGTTTTGGTCTGGCTTCTTTCATGTCCTTGTTGAGATTTACAATGTTGTATAAATCAGCGGTTTGTTTCCATTGCTGAGCTGTATGGATCTAGTATTTTTAACACATGCTAATCTTTGTTTTTAAGAGAAGATGAGTTAGATTCAGAGTTTTGGTAGTTTCAGGATGTTTTCTCTTTGTGGCAAGTGGTAGTGGTTTTCCATATGTCACTGTGCATTAGTTATCTCTGGCTGTGTAACAATCACCCTAAAACTTTGCAGCTTAAAATACACTTTTGTCACCTGCAATAGACTGAATGTTTCTCACTCCTCGTTCCCCACCATACACACAATCCATGTGTTCATATCCTCACCTGCAAAGTGCTGGTATCAGGAGGTGCTTAGGCCACAAGGGCTCTGGAGTTAGCTGCAGAGAGATCCCTCACCCCTTCTCACACATGAAGTTACAGTGAAAAGACATCAGTCAGGAAGATCTTCACAGAATCTTCTACCACTTGACCTTGGACTTCCCAGCCTCTGGAACTGTGAGAAATAAACATTTTGATTATGAGCCACCCAGTTTATAGTCTTTTTGTGACAGCGACTCAGACTACGATGGTTCCCTTGCTTGGTTTCTGAGGGTTGGGAATCTGGGAGTGTCTTGGCTAGATGGCTCTGGCTTTGAGTCCCTCCTGAGGCTGCAAGTTATCTGAAGGTGTTGGGGGAAGGCTGCAGGTGGCAAGTCTCCCTTCCCTACACAGGCCCTCCATGGTGCTGCTCATGACATGGCAGCCGGCTTCCCTTAGACAGAGCGATTGAAGACAGTGCCAGAGAGGATGTCACAGTGCTTTTTATAATCTAGTTTCTGAAGCCTCACTTTTATTTCATTCTCTTCTCTAGAAGTGAGTCACTACTACTAAGTGCAACCCACGCTCAAGAGGAGAATTAGCTCCACCTTTTGAAGGGAGGAAGTGTCATACAAGTCATGGGCTTTGCACCAAAGTTCCCCTTTAAAATATATTTTAGTTCCTGTGGGTGTATTCCAATGGTGAACACGTGCTTACTGTGCTAGGCCCTGGGTCCAGTCTCCAGGATATGTGTGTATGTGTGTGTGTGTGTGTGCATGTGCATATGGTCCAAACTTGCTTTCCTCTTCACTCCCCTGTGTGAGTCCTGTGATCCAATCCAGCATGGCTCCAAGGAAGTTCTAATTTCAGTGTTACTTGATGGGGCAGGATCTGAAGCCAAATGAACTTGGGAAACTTCTGGTTAAACAAAGTGAAACTGGTCCCTTTCTGGAAGGACTTGCCAGAGCTTTAACCATGCTGATGCATTTCTGGGAAATAACAAGAGACTCTGGCACATGCATTTCCTCTCATTTCAAAAAAAAAAAAAAAAAAATGACACTACCTTTTGCTTTTGTGTGTGGAGCATCTCGTGGGCCTAGGGTTCTAGCATTCTTGTAAAGCTGTTGCTAGAAAGGGCAATTCCTTTTCCTAACAGGACTCACGTTTCCCTGCTTCTGGGCTCATGCCTCCCTTGGCCTGGCAGCCCTTCCAACGCAGATTGAACCTCTGGCCCCAGTTGTTCACCTCCTCGTCTTTGCCATGTTATTTTGTAGTTCTGCTCAATAGAGGCTTGGGCTTGGTATGAATTGGTTTAGATGATGTTAGCTTTTTGTCACAAATACCTAAAAAAAAAAAAAATCAATTTAGAGGGGAAAAGATTTGTTTTGGCTCATGGTTTCAGAGGCTTCAGTCAATGGTGAGCTGGTTCCATTGCTTTGGGCCTGTGGTGAGGTGAGCATCATGGTGGAATGACACGGCAGAGGAAAGCTGATTAGTTTAGGAAAGCTAGAGAGCAGAGAGAGGGAGGGGAAGGAGCCAGGGGCAAGATATAATGTTGAGAGCCACAGCCAAAGGGGCCCCAGCAAACTTCCAGCTGCCAGCAAACTTCCAGCTGCCGGCTGATGATTGGCTCACAGCGGCCCCAGCAACATCTAGCTGATTGGCTCCTCCATGGAGCTGCTCATTAGGCTGTTTCCCTGCCCTTTCAGACCACGGAGCTGCTCATTGGGGGACTTCTTTGGCTCCGCCCACGCAACCCAGCCAATCGGCCTCAAGAGCAGGAGGATTGTGGGAGGTGGAGAGGCTGGTGTGGGTGAGAGGCTTGTGGAAGCCGGCGGTGGCAGTTGGGCTCTGAGGGTTTTTTCCTGAGGAGCTGTTTTGCTTGGCTTTGTAGTTCTAAAAATAAAGTTAGTTTCTTTTGACAAGTGGCTCCTGAATTGTGCCCAGCCAGACTGCGGCAATATAATCCCCAAGAGCATGCCCTCAAGGATCCTTTTCCTTCTGCTAGATCCCACCTCCTGCACTTTCCACCAGCTCCCAATAGTCCACTCAAATTATGAATCCTGCAATGGATTAATCCACTGATGGGCTCAGAGCTCTCATGATCCAATTACTTCCCAAGGGCCCCTCCTCTGAACACTGCTGTATTTGGGGACCAGCCTTCAATACATGAGACTTGGGGCACCCATCCCGATCCAAACCATATCAGTCAATGAATGTTAGTGGAAGTGACCCTGGAGAAGTTTGAGAGGCGCCTGTGCAGCTGGGAATGGCCCTCTTGTGCCTTAGCATCACTGTGAAAAGAACTTCTCCAGCTGAGCCAATGTGGAACAGGCCTGAGCCCCATGAAGCAAGGAGCCAAGTCCAGCAGGGCCCTGGGCATGAGCAGAGCTGCTCAGCAAGGCAGCCTACAGCTCCCCATGCCAACCTGCAGACTCACGAATGGGTTTTGGGGTGGTGTGCAGTGCAGCCCTGTGACCATTGCTAAGTCTGGCTTGAAGTCTACCCTCACCCTTCTCTCCTCTCCCCTGACACCTTCACAAGGCTTTGACCATAGCTTTTCCCTTCTTCAAGCCCCTCAGCCTGCCACGTGCCTCTCTTACAGGTCCTATCCTCCAATGTCGGCCCACTCTTACAGGTCCTATCCTCCAATGTCGGCCCTTTACCCATGGCTGGACTCTACCCTCCCGAGGATCGAGTGCTATGTCTTAGTCATCCTGTGTCCTTGAGTGTCTGCTGCCCTGCATGCTTCTCAATGAATCTTTGTTGCGCAGTGTCACATTTAGTTTATTTCACAATTCTGCATTTGCAGGCTCTGATAAGAAACCGTGGCTTGATGTCATTAGAGAAAAAGAAAAGAAAGCATTTGAAAAGAGAGCGGCTTTGATTGAGTTGAGTTAGTTGTTGGGCCTCCCCCCTCCCCCCCAGTGGAGAGCCTCCTTTGTTTATGACCTTTGACAACATCCAGGAAGCAGCCTGGGCTCAGGACTGACAAGACAGCCCCTTCTCTGGCAAGCACCACTGCCGTCAGGAGTTGCACCTTCATACAGAAACCTTTTTATGGCCTCCCTGCTGACTGCAGGGGCTGATCTGTCAATTCTGAAAAAGCTTTAAAGGGAAACAGGACTGTAAAAATAGAAACCAAATGAAGACTGCCGGGCCCAAGGAGCAGCAGCAATAACGATCCGCGTTTCCCCATGTAGCGCACAGGACAAGTCTGTGCTTTATTTTTATTTTAAAGGGGGGTAATTTGGAAGATGGGTCATTGGTCTTCCATAATGTCCGCTCTCCAAGGACAAATGCTTTTTGTTGGTACTGGGGACTGAACCCAGGGGCACTTAATCACTGAGCCTCATCCCAGCCCTTTTTAAAAATATTTTTATTTGGAGACAGAGTCTTGCTGAGTTACTTAGGGCCTCACTAAGTTGCTGAGGCTGGCTTTGAACTCACGATTGTTCTACCTCAGCCACCTAAGCTGCTGGGATTACAGGTGTGCGCCACCATGCTAGGCTCAGCTTCTTTAAATTTGCACGTCCACAGCACTCCTGCATCTGTTTCTCATACATCACAACCTCCATCCTCACACCAGGCCACCCATCACGAGTGGTTGCACACCATCAGCCAGAGACCATCTGCATGGCTTTCAAAGCAGCCATGGAGAAAGCCTCCATGCCTGTCCTGGTCCACTGTGGGGTGGATGTTGAGTAGGCATATTCACCTGGGGAGGTGTCGTGGCTTGGCCACGTCCACAGACAGGTTAAGGGCCTGGTGCAGATGTGTCAGGGGATGGTTAATTTACAGAGCTGCCTAAGATGACTGAAGTCTCCACTGGCACATGAGATAACGTGACCTGCTTGGGGACTCCAGGGGCTGTGCCCATCCTGCATCCCACCCATGCTTCATGCTGGTGATGGGCCAGAGCAGCATTGGCAACCCCGGGGATATTTGGCAAAAGAAATTTAAAATATGAAGCCCAGCCTGATGACAGCAGGAGAGGGGTGAATGTCTGGAGCAGCAGTTGACAAGCTTTTCTCAGGCTTTGGAGGCCAGAGGGTCCCTCTCATAACCACTTGGTACTACCACTGTCTTCCTGGACCAGACACAGGCAATGCACAGATGACCATGTCTGGGGATTTTTTTGGGGAGGGGAAAGGAGCAGTTTTGTGGTTTTATTTAAGCACACACACAAACAAATGTGCACATTTTCTTTTCTTCCCTGTGCAGCCTGGCACTGGGATTGGCGACTCTGATGGTCAGCGGGCGCCTCTTCCCACGATGGCTTTGTGGTGGTTCTTGCAGGACACACTGTGAGCAAGCCCAGCACAGTAAGACTCCTTGCACGACAGCAGCCCTTCCAGTGGACCAGGAACTTCTGGAAGCCACCGGACAGCATGTGCTTTGCTTTCTTGTTGCTCTCATAACCTGTGTTGGGCATCAAGATCTGACCCCGAATCTTTTCCTCATCCTGTTGTCAGTACCTCCTGGTTTCTACCAGTCACACTTAATTCTGACATAGCAGATGAACTGATGCCAGATAAATCCTCTTTCTGAGGATTTTGGACTTTATAGGTGGTCTGAGGGAAGCTGTGATGCAGAGCTCACATGCAAAGGATGAGACCTTCTCACCAGGGGGCAGTGGGGTCAGATGGAGACCGTACAAATGCCAGCATGGCTGTGGTTATCTATTTTTTAATTTTTGCAGTGCCAGGGATCGAACCCAGGGCCTGCATGTGCTAGGCAAGTGCTCTACTACCATAAAACCTTGTCCACAGAGCTGAGGGTAGTTGAGTGGTAGAGCACTTACTTAGCATGAATGAGGCCCCAGGTGCAGTCCCTGGCACCACAAAAAAAATGAAAAGAAATTCACAGGAGTGTGTCATACAAGGACAGAGTCACTCACATGGGGAGCACAGGGTGACATCAAATTTCCTCTGCTGGCACAGAACGAAATATCCCTTTCCACAGCAATCCCAAAGTATCATAAGCCTGCCTTTGTTTTGACTTCCAAACATTTGTTTTTTTAAAATGTAAATCTGAAAAAACACTCTTGCACTTAGAGGTGTTCAAATATAACGGACACCATTCATAAAAACATCTCTTGGGAATGTCTCAGGCGGCGCTGAAAGGGACCCTGGAATACCCAAATCAATCCCCTTGTGGGACAGTCTGTGGAACTGAGGCTCAGCTCACAAAGGCAGGGGTGGGTGACAGAGACAAAGAACACTTGACCTTTGACTGTGGGCCACCTTTTCAAGAGCACTGTTACAGGATACTAGCACTTTCCTTGGCAAGGACAACATGATAAAAGGCACCTTTTGTCTTCAATTCCCCTTACATGCTCAACTCCCCAGGGGCAAGATCATATCTTGTGCTACTTTTAAAATTATTAAAGGAAAACAACTTTTTACAAAAAAACGGTACATGCTGATAAAGATGAATGAAAGAGGGAGCTGGGATTGTGGCTCAGTGGTAGAGTGCTTGCCTAGCATGTGTGAGGCTCTGGGTTTGATCCTCAGCACCACATATCAGTAAATAAAATAAAGCACTATTAAGAACTAAAAATAAAATAATAATAATAAAAGAATGCAGAAACATAAAGTGAAAAGGGACAGTCCCTTCTTCTTCACCCACATCCACCCTCCCCATAGCGAAACACATTTCCCTCAACAAGTTATGAAAAATTTCAGGCTCATAGAAATAATTTTTCAGTGAGTACTGGTACACCCCAAACCTAGATTCTATGAACATCTTCCTATATTTGCTTTGTTACTTACCTGTCCATCTTTCCATGCTCCATTCACCTGTCAATCCATCCTCTTTTTCAAATGAATTTCAGAGCAAATTGCAGATGCCAGCCATCTCCCACTAGGATTCCCAAAGCCTCAACATACAATCATCAGCTGGAGTTTAATATTTACTTTTTTGTGTGTTTTGAGGTAAGATCTACATCCTATGAACTGCAGATGAAAGTATACTTGCACTGGTTTTGACAGATGCAAAAAATATAACATAAACATCAACCCAGAAAACTTTCCATGTTTTTCTACCATAATTTTTGCCTGTTCTAGAGTTTCATACAAGCAAAAAATTAGACAGACATACACACACACACACACACACACACACACACACACACACACAGATGTACTCCTTGGTTTTAAGACAAAACTTTTTGGTTATCTCCTCCCCACCTACCCACACCCAGAGAGGTCTGTTAGCTCTCTTTCTCCTGGTGTGTGGGGGGGCTTGCTCTGCACCCTGTCCTGAGAGTTGTCCAATTGCCAGGATTTGTGAGGCTGGAGCAGAGTATCTGGTTGAAAACCCTCTTTTGACACTACACAAGCAACTTTAGACAAGTGATTTGACTTTGGTGCCTCAGTTTCCTCTTCTGTGAAATAGGTATGATAAGGCAGTACTGACTTCTTGGGCTGTTGAGTATGGCTCACATGGCCAATGTCTGGAAGCATCTAGAACAGAGCAGGCCCACAGTGTGGCTGCAGGGGTCTCACAAGTACCTACCATACCCTTCAGGTCCCTATGATGGGCTCTGTACCTGCATCCAGTTCTGCTAACATCCAATACCTGTGACCTCT